TTGCTACAAATTCCCGCCAACACCGATCTTCCAACTACCTTCTGTTCAGGTTAGCAATCACTAATCTAATCGACACCTTGATATGCAAGCCAATTGTTCTGGACTTCACTAGCCTCCTAACATTCTTCCACGAGTGAAGAACGAGCAATAAATAAATTGCGTATCACGTTTTAGTCGGTCTTTCATGCCAGACTTCATAATTACATTTGGTTGCAATCAGCATTGATCGTTTCGTTGTCGTTGCATTTCCACCATATTATACGTGGCGTCATTCAGGATTGACCAGGATCTTGTCAATTTCGAAATTGGTGAGTAAGTGTCAACATAAGCTTCTTGACGAAGCAGTTGTTTTATAAATGGCATATGGCATATGGCATATATATGGCAAATGATTTGTATAAACAAACGTGGAAGAAATCCGTAACGCTTGGACATTGGTGACATTTCCCACCTCGTTGATATACCCTAAAACATATTGCAATAAAAACCAAGTGAATAACCTGTCTGTCTGTCTCTTTTTGGTCGTTTTAGAAGGGATTCGGCTGCCAGGCTGGAGATTATATCTGTGTTCGATTCTAAAAAGCACAATAGTTTCAAGCTCTTCACTCACGACAGAAACTGGGGTGTAGTGCTCAGCCAGTTAAATAAGAACCATAATCTATACTCGGGAGCAGAAGAGAGAAGGGGGAGGATCAGTCTTCTTAGCAAAGAAAGGGTCCTGTCTACGTCTTAGCACATAGCAAAGTGTTTCGTCACAATCGACGACAAAGTTATTTATAAGACGCTCAACGGCATTTTTTTTACGTTTTGCCGACACTATCTACTCCACAAAGAGAAAGTTAAAAGCCAACTCTCCCTCCTCTACTCTGTGAATAATATTGTGCCGCTGTTCAATTAAGCTACGCCCAGTTTGCTTTGCTGTCCTAAAGATATACCCCATTTGTTTTGTCACCGTATGTTACGCTTGCATATGCGCGCATTTAACACACACCATTCTGGATTTCGTCAACCTTAACCTGCTTGCTTCCATTTTATAGAATTTTCGTTCGTCTGTGACTAATGCTAATTTATGAAAAAGTAAGAGGAAGAACAGAAAAATTAACTGACCATTTGGACTGGTCAGTTTATAGATATCTCTTTTGAAGACCAGAGAGTTTAACTCTAAAAGTGAAACTACACAGCCACGCTTATTTTGAAATTAAATTGCAATGATCTTTTCAGTGAAAATGTTTTGTTAAAGGATTTTCAAACTTGTTTCCGGGTAAAGGTGGATGTCACTCGCCGATATAATGATATTATGATATTAGTTCAGAAGGCGTACACTGAATCGATTAAGGCTAAACTTCACAAACACAATACAATTTTTTTAATACAGAAAATGGGGTCTGCAACAACAACAACTTAGTAATAACCTAGTTAAACTAGTCAACAGCTTCTTCATTAGTTATCTTTTTTCGGCATTTAATTCACGTCTTCATATTAACTATAGTCTGGATTACCCAAGTAAACTAACAACATGCAGTATGTATTTGCATTTATTACTAAAAGATATATTGCTAGCAGGCAAGTATTTGCTGTTATAGCTGTCAACCTCACGTATCTGATTATTGTTATCATAGCATATTGAAAGACAGTTTCAGAATGTTTATTTCTGGCTTACGTCCTAGGACTAAATATAGGTTATTCTGCGTCAAAATAGATCTGAAATATCAAAGAGGGCCGTTAACAAATGTATTTATACCTTCCTTCCAATGTTTTCCTATTCACATATGTTTAGTGTTGGACGCAAAAGGGACTTTAATCCTGCTGATTTTTCGCCCGTGCAGTGCATCAGACCAGACGACAACATGAATGAATCTTCGGAGAACGCAAACAGTTGTTCTCTTCCCACGGCTCATGGTATTCCACTGATCGCAATCAATTTTATCATATGCGTTCTGGGATCACTTGGAAACTTCCTGGTTTGTTTGGCCATTACTACAAACTCTCGCCTACGCAGAGCCTCAAACTACCTTTTATTCAGTTTAGCGATCGCTGATCTAATCGCCACTTTGGTATGCGAACCACTACTTTTGAAAGTAATAATCCAGAGGACATTTTTCTATGAGTGCACAAAGAGGCTGCAGCGTACGTACTCCATTTTATCCCAAATTTCATGCAGCAGTTCAGTTTTACATATGGTTGCAATCAGTTTTGATCGTTTCGTTGCCGTTGTGTTTCCACTACGGCACAAGAACTTCATCGAAGGATGCGGACTTAAGTTTATGCTTATGATATCCTGGTCATTGCCGATTCTTTTGACTGTTTTGAGGTCTATCGTTCCGCGGACCACCTATCCTGCCCACTTTATCGGATTGGGAACTTTTGCCCTCTGCTATCTCTTTATTTTCTTTTTCTATTTCCTAATTGTGCTATTTCTGCTCCACCACAGAAAGAAAAGAAAGCACCTAGGTGCCCGAACAAATTCTATGAAAGTGACTTTCAGGAGGGAGGTCCGTGTTGCTTGCACATTGGCTATCGCAATCAGCGTTTTCACGGCTTGTTGGGTTCCTCTGATGACTGTATTCTTTGCCGCTGGAAAACTAATTATAAATCGAAACGGCTCTCTACTCATGTGGCTCCGAACCCTGGCTCTCTCCAACTCAGCCATGAACTTTCTGATCTACTCTGCTAAAATCAGGGACTTCAAAGAGGCATACATTGATATTTTTCGAAAGATGCTCCGCCTGTAGAGGTCTTAACTTTTACTACTTTTTCAAGAACTCAGAGAGTTTTAGGAAGCTGAACTTGTGAGCGGTCCTAATCTTTATCAAAAGATTACTTCAGTGTTTTACAAACGTGACGTCTCAGTACCTTAGTCCTGCCTGGCATTGTCTCTTTCAAAGGAGAAGCCAGTCTCACAATCACGCCAGTTGTTCAAGAAACTGCACTTTGGCAAAAAACCGACGTCAGCCAGGGGCACCAGACAGATTATTCGCTGCCAAAGTGTAAAATATCCGCTAAAGGGAGTAAATATTATCTGAAAAGTTCCAACGAAAGAACAAAAAGACAAACTTTTCTAGCGCCCCATTCACACCGAAGCCTAAACATGTTTAAAAGTTGTTTGCTTAAACACGGTTTAAAATTGTTTCGTTCATAAAAGAATGAGCTGCTTACTAACTTACGTGTTAATTGCAAATTTAGTGCAAATTACAAGACATAATGAATTTTATGTGAATATTGTTCTGTGAAACCTGGTTTAATCAAACATGTTTAGTTGCTTGTTAATAGGGCATAGGTGTTTACTGCATTTCCGAGGTTTTTCGGAACTGTAGTACACTCCACTTCCCCACAATTTTCTGAAGCGGGGATTTTCACGCCTTAATCACTAGATTTGGTTGATATCTTGAGAAAGGTCCCCTAGTAGCAGCTAGGAATTTCGGGAAGGATAGGGGAAGTCCTCGAAGGGGAGTACCTCCAGCAAAGTTAGAGTAGAGGTGTGCCGCCGAGGCCCTCACACCCTGACCTTGTTTTTAAGGCAAAAAACAAATTTCGTGACTTCATTTTGCTACCCTATCCTTATCCTATGATCCTGATTCGTTTCGTTTTGCATACAGAATTAGGTAATTTCCAAAATTTTTTCAAAATAACCTCATGGAATTGGATTTTTTAAGAAAAAATTGTTAGTGCCACAGATGTAGACCGCTCCTCGCCAATCTTCACACTCTTTTAAAGGATTCCGGTCCAAGGAGACACCTTCTTCAAGACGCTAAATTGGGAAATTTTATACCCCGTTTTAAGACTCAAGACCCTGATCAAAGAAGGCTATGCCTAATGTATTTTAGTATAATTACATTGATGATTATCGAAAATAGAGCGCTATGATTATAATCATCGATGTTATTATACTAATATCGGGGAAGAGTCGCATCGACTTCGTCTCGGTGACTATTCGCCGATATTCACGTCGCCTTGGGCGATTAATTGTTAAATATTGCTATCAGTGATTAATAATGGAATTGAATTCATGAAGGTAGGAGCTGGACATTATATAGCAGTAAGAAACACTGACTCAGTTTTTGTTGTTGCTGTTGTTGTTTTAACAATTATAGCCTAAGCTTCCAAAGCTGAACGCCCGGCTGACCGTAGCTTGTGTGCGTGAAAGAAAATATTTCATGCCTGTAAATTGCGGGCGGGACAAGCTATTCGTGTTTTATCATTTGATTTCAATTGCCTTTCATCTCGTAGATATACTCTTAAACATAGTGTCTGTGTCTTTCTTTGGTCGATTTAGAAGGGATTTGGGCGCCAGACCAGAAGCGGTCTCTCCGTTCCATTTTAAAAACTACAGTAGTGTCAAGCGCGTCAAGCACGAATGAAACAGGAGTGTAGGTATCTAATTTGAAGTAATAATCATTTACGAGCGCTGCGGTAGTTGACCGCAAAAGTGTTACGGTGATGGATACTCAACTGGATGATTACGTCACTTCATAGCAACCAGACGGTACGAATTTTTTAACTTCCGGAGCGCTGAGGCTCGTAGTGCTCAAAAATGAAACTACACAGCCATGCATGTTTTGAAATTCACAACAAATTCCAATGATCTTTTCAGTGAAATTTTTTCGTTTAAATTGTTACAAACGTTTTCCCGTTGTAATTGTAACTCGCCGATATAATGGTGGAAATCAAGTAATATGATATTGTCCTGAGCAGATATTATGCGTCGACACTGAATCGATCAAGGCTAAAAACTTCACAAACACAATACCGGTACAATGTTTTTAATGCAGAAAATGGGTCTTCAATAACAACAACTTAGTAAAGTAACAGGAATAACGACGATGCCTAACTTAGTTCATCTAGTCAACAGCCTCTTAATTAGTTATCTTTTTTCCACATTTAATTCACGTCTTCATATTGACCATAGCCTGGATTACCCAACTAAACTATATAACAACATGAACTTGTGAGCGGTCCTAATCTTTATCAAAAGATTACTTCAGTGTTTTACAAACGTGACGTTAGTACTTTAGTCCTGCCTGGTATTTTCTATTTCAAAGGAGAAGCCGTTCTCACAATGACGCCAGTTGTTCAAGAAACTGCACTTTGGCAAAAAACCGACGTCAGCCGGGGCACCAGACGGATTATTCGCTGCCAGAGTGTAAAATATCCGCTAAAGGGAGTAAATATTATCTAAAAAGTTCCAACGAAAGAACAAAAAGACAAACTTTTCTAGCGCCCCATTCACACCGAAGCTTAAACATGTTTAAAAGCTGTTTGCTTAAACACGGTTTAATATTGTTTCTTTCATAAAAGAATGAGCTGCTTACTAACTTACGTGTTAATTGCAAATTTAGTGCAAATTACAAGGCATGATGAATTTTATATGAATACTGTTCTGTGAAACCTGGTTTAATGAAACATGTTTAGTTGCTTGTTAATAGGGCATAGGTGTTTGCTCCATTTCCGAGCTTTTTCGGAACTGTAGTACACTCCACTTCCCCTCAATTTTCTGAAGCAGGGATTTTCACGCCTTAATCACTAGATTTGGTTGATATCTTGAGAAAGTTCCCCTAGTAGCAGCTAGGAATTTCGGGAAGGATAGGGGAAGTCCTGGAAGGGGAGTACCTCCAGCAAAGTTAGAGTAGAGGTGTGCCGCCGAGGCCCTCACACCCTGACCTTGTTTTTAAGGCAAAAAACAAATTTTGTGACTTCATTTTGCTACCCTATCCTTATCCTATGATCCTGATTCGTTTCGTTTTGCATACAGAATTAGGTAATTTCCAAAATTTTTCAAAATAACCTCATGGAAGTGGATTTTTTAAGAAAACATTGTTAGTGCCACAGATGTAGACCGCTCCTCGCCAATCTTCACACTCTTTTAAAGGATTCCGGCCAAGAAGACACATTCTTCAAGACGCTAAATTGGGAAATTTTATACCCTGTTTAAGACTAAAGATCCCGATCAAAGAAGGCTAAGCCTAATGTATTTTAGTATAATTACATTGATGATTATCGAGAATAGAGCGCTATGATTATAATCATCGATGTTATTATACTAATATCGGGGAAGAGTCGCCTCGACTTCGTCTCGGTGACTTTTCGCCGATATTCACGTCGCCTTAGGCGATTAATTGTTAAATTTTCCTATCAGTGATTAATAATGGAATTGAATTCATGAAGGTAGGAGCTGGATCTTATATAGCAGTAAGAAACACTGACTCAGTTTTTGTTGTTGTTGTTGTTGTTTTAACAATTATGGCCTAAGCTTCCAAAGCTGAACGTCCGGCTGACCGTAGCTTGTGTGCGTGAAAGAAAATATTTCATGCCTGTAAATTGTGGGCGGGACAAGCTATTCGTGTTTTATCATTTTATTTCAATTGCCTTTTATCTCGTAAATATACTCTTAAACATAGTCGGCAATATAAACGATATGACTTAGCTGTGTGTCTGTGTCTTTCTTTGGTCGATTTAGAAGGGATTTGGGCGCCAGACCAGAAGCGGTCTCTCCGTTCGATTTTAAAAACTACAGTAGTGTCAAGCGCGTCAAGCACACATGAAACAGGAGTGTAGGTGTCTTATTTGAAGTAATAATCATAACTGTGAGCAGACGAGAGAAGGGAGAGAGAAATGATCCCTCTTCTTAGCAAAGGAAGTCTCCAGCTTCTTAGTATAGCTAAGTGTCTAGATATAATCGGCGAAAAAAACTATTTATGAGACACCTTGTACTCAACCTCACTATTTCCTGACACGACTATTTAATTTCCAAAGACCATCCTCTCTTGCAATCACTAAGTAGAAAGCCCACCTCCCGCCTTCCACTGTTCCCAAAAATTAATTGGGGTACTATCCAAGCTACAAAGGTGTAATATAAACAATCATCTATCTAGCGCGAGCCCTCTAAATTTTGGCGTACCTCAAGGGTCAATAATCGGTCCTCTTCTTTTCTTGATCTATATAAATGATCTACCAAATTGTTTGAATGTGGGCTCTCTTAGAATGTATGCCGACGACACTAATGTTACCTTTTCTGCAGCTCACGGCTATACCTGATCTTGAGTCCCAAATCGATAGTGACCTGAAATATATTGATCGCTGGCTCAAAGCTAATAAGTTAAGTCTCAATGTCGCCAATTAAAAACAGAGTTTATGGTTATTAGCTCGAGGCAGAAACTACAGTCCTTAAATGACTACGCAGTAAACATTCATATAGACGGCGTGCCAATAAACGAAAGCAATCAAACAAATATCTCAGGCTTATCATTGATGAAAATCTCTCGTGGAAGGCCCACATTCATGAAATCTCTAAAAAAGTATTATCCGGTATCAGTGCTCTTAGGCGGGTCAGGCCATTTGTTTTAATGCACACTGCAATTAAAATATACAAAGGTTTTATCGAACCACACTTCGATTATTGCAGTGCTGTATGGGATGGCTTGGCCCAACAGCTTAGTGAGAAACTTCAAAATCGTGCTATCAGAGTTATCACCAAATCTAGCTATGATACTAGTTCCAGATTTC